CCTCGGTGTTTATGAAGGGCTTATTCACACGGTAGACAAGAAGGAGGATTTTTATTCATGGCAGGTAAAATTATAAAACGAATCAACCAAAATGAAAAACGAAATGAAGTTGCATATTTTAGTTACATATTCCTAGTCCCCTGTCATTGAAACCAGATGGACTAAAGGTTTCCACTGCTTTCGTTCCTCCCTGTCCGCCTGTTTCTCCGTCTGACTAGCTTCTGTGCATGTTGCTTGACTTTGATGAGTTATAGATAAATTTTTATTTTTGATCCACTTCAATGATTTCTGATAAAATTTTCAATTTTAGAGGAAACCAGATTACACGGTAGGGGACTAGTATTGCTAATGTAACACTCTCACAACGCTTTATTTTTCAGATTCTTTTAATCCCTAAATATTCATTACCTTAAAGTTATTTTGATCAACATGGATCTGATTGTCTTCAGGTATAAAATGTATAACATATTCTGAACTAAAATACATTCTTAACTATTAGGATCGTATTGTTTTCAAAGGTAGATAAACAGGGGACCGATGGTACTTACAACATAGATGCAGAAGATCCGGCCTGTAGTAACTGGTTACGATTCGTTAATTCTCCCGCCAAATATCAACAGGAAAATGTCGTTCCTATCACGTGCGAGGGCATCATCTTCTATATGACGTCACGTGACGTAGAACCGGGTGAAGAGCTTCTGGTCTGGTATGGTGACGGATATGGGAGGTTTTTAGGCGTAAACCGCATACATCCGGGTAATGAAACAATACTTGCTATGGTTAATTGTTTCCATCCGGGTATTTAAACAATCTACTTATCAGATAACTTGACCATATACAATGTGGTCATTAAAACATTTTTATGCCCGCCTGAACAAAGTTTCGGGGGTTTGTAGTGTTTGTCGTGTCCGTCCCTCTGTCTGTCTGTCTGTCTCTGTCTCTCTCTTTGTCTGTTTGTACGCAAAAACTTTAATACTGCACATAGCTTTTTATTTAGTGGAGCTATGAGTATCATATTTCATTTGTGTATTTTTTGTGACAAGACCTTTCTTAGGATAGCACATAACTTGACATTTTGACCTTGACCTAGGAGTTTGACCCAGTTTTACATAAAAATCCAAACTTTTACTTTGGCCATATCAGTCGAACATTGGATACTAGGGTTGTTATAATTTACATATACTTCACATCAATATAATTGTTAAGAGACCTTTCATTGGATACCAACAACTTTGACCTTGGAGATTTTAGTACTTGTGAAAAAACTTTAACCTTGGCCATAACTTTTGAACGGTAAGGCCTAGGACTTTCATATTTCACCTAATTGAACCTTGTGACAAGAACTTTCATTTGATATTAAAATTCTTGACCCTTTGACCTTGACCTTGGAGTTTGACACATTTTTACACAAAAAATCTAACTTTTACTTTGGCTCTAATTTTTCAATGGTAGATTCTAGGAATATCATATTTTAAATATCAAGTCTTCGTGACAAGAGCTTTCTATTGAAACCAACAATTTAAACCTTTTAACCTTAGAAATTACGCATTTACAAGAAAACTTTAACTGGTCATAACTTTTGAATTGTAAGGTTTAGGTCTTTCAAACTTCAATTATATAGTCATTGTGAGAAAACCTTTCACTGGATTTCAACATTTTTAACACCTTGACTTTGACCTTGGTTTTTGACCTACTTTTTACAAACAAATCGGAGTTTGTCCTACCTTTTAAAACGCTTACCTTGGCCGTAACCTTTAAACAGGTGGTGCAAGGGTTTTCTATGTCATATTTGTATTTTATGGAAAGGCCTTACTTTAGGTAGCAACATATTTGATCTGCATTTGAGAAAGCCTAACGTTCGCTATGTTGCCATACGGGGGCATCAGTGTTTCACAAACACATCTTGTTATATGCTTTTGTTTCTTCGGAATTTTTAAGGCGTAAACCCCATACACGTGGGTATATAATTAAACAATTCATTTATAACATGCTTACATTTTTTATCACATGAATGCAATATTTTTTTCCTCAAATTTCTCTATCTTGCCTTTGAATAAAAAAAATAGATACTCTTTCATAAAAAAAAATAATGTGGATTTTATTTAAACACCTTTGATTAATAGTGAAATATTTTCTATCGTTCTACAAATCTGATTTTAAAGTTTTGAAATAGATAAAACAAACTTCACATTGAATCTGGAAAGTATATATTCGCAGTGTATCAAAATTGTTAATTTCTTATTTTATCCAAAGAACAGTGTTTTTGGACTCGAACACCAACAAAGGCACTTATTTTCCTTTGTTCTTTGAATTGAATTGTAGTTTTGCCTACGTTTTATTATGCTCGGTAGAAAATTTTCTGTTGTTACATATGCTACCACGCAAAAAGGATACGCTCCCTTTTTATGTCTTTTGAATTTGGATACAACAGATCAAATTTTATGAATTTTTAGAGCATACAGGATGTAAAGCATCAAATCATTTTGTAAAGGTGTTGTTTAAAACATTCAAGACAAAATACTATTAATCCTTATTCATAAAAGTGAAATATAAGTTTTTGAGTATGATATAATTTTTTTCTTGTCCTTTTCTGTAGAAGTTGATCTCAACGGTTCATTTGCATTTCGTGCCAATGTTTTGACATTTGACGACAATGAAAGACTCATTTTTGATAGCTGGACACCAGTGACGTATCAGGACTGGAATCCTAACGATGAGGGCGAGACAGCAGTTGACCCAATCTTTGGCCTCCTTTTGACTTATCATAACGACGGCAGGTGGCGCTGGGTGACTGAGAGAAACTACACGTACTATACAGGAGAAGACGGACTAAAACTCCCCTTTATTTGTGAGGATTCTCCATTTTATTTGGAGCCAGAAGAGTGTTCTGTTACATAATGATTCATTCTCTTTTAATCAAAATAAACCTTTGTAACCATTATCTTTGTTATATAATTTCATAAAGCATGGTGTATAAAGTTCTAAATCATTAAATGGAGTATTCTTAAGTTAACGTTGGATCGTATATTCGTCTCCTCGGAAGTCATCTAGATTTATCCTCGGATCGTACATTCCTCTCCTCGGAAGAGATCTAACTTTATCCTCGGATTGTATATTCGTCTCCTCGGAAGAGATCTAGGTTTATCCTCATGTTTTAAATAAACTATTGATAGCATGTACACAAATACAGACGGTGCATTATATTGTTTCGTTATTTTCTCAAGGAAACTGACTGGGATCTCCTCGCACCATATATACAAACATTTTAGCACAAAGTGTTGTTTTTGAAATTTCTATCCGTAATCCAAAAAATAAGGGGCAAATATATTTTCCTGGGACGGTCGGTCCAGTAGTCTGTTTGTTTGTTATTTTTTTCCCTGATTTATCTGTGGTAAATCAATTAGCCCTGACTACAGCCTTTAATTGGTTTGAGCTATGAATTTCATATTTCACAGGTTTTTTTCTTTATTTTGACGGTCAATTTCGAATTCGAAATTTGAGCCTTGGTCATATGAACTATGGCTTTAATATTTCACTGGTGTATTCAACGTGTAAAAACTTTTCCTAGGGTAAAAGTATTTTTGACTTTGACCTTTATGTTTGACTCACTTTTAAAGAATTTTTCAAAATTTTATTCTTAGCCATAGCTACTACACGGTTAAATCAAGTGATATCATACTCTTCACGCTTATATTTTGATAAGACCTTCACCTGATTACAAACAGTAATGACCTTTAACCTTGATCTTATGGATTTGACCTACTTTTCAAAAACGTAAACTTTGGAAGTATTTACTGAATATTTAGTACAAGGGGTTAACTATTTTACCGGTTCATTTCTTGTGGTAAGAGCTTCTCTTGAATACCAATATTTTCTTTTTATTTTTTATCCTTTTATTTGGACATCAGACTTTGACCTTCTTTTGAAAAATTTTGGTGATAACTTTTAAATGGTTGATTTTGTGACTTTAATATTTCCCCTGGGTATTCTTTCTGAAATTTTTTCGGACATCATTAAGATTGACTCCTTGACCTTGTCCAGTTTGACCTACTTATGAAAATCTCTAACTTTGGTCTTGAGTATTGAACTGTTGCTGCTTTTATGGTTTTTATTTTAGAAGGTAGACTCAATGTGAGAAACGTTTCTTTTGGTACCAAAACTAGTTTTATATTTACCTTGATGTTTGACCCGCAAATGACTACATTAATCATAAGCCTCTTAGTTTCACAAACTTATCTTGAATTTTTATCATTAGCTCCTAAATTTTTCCTATTGATTTAACAACAAATTTCAAGCTGTAGTCTATCACAGTTTTGGATATATATAAACCATAGTCTACACAATGCATAATAGAGAAAACTTGTCACACATATTGAATCATTTTTTTAAAAAGATGTTGTCTCATAATTGCAAAGGTATTTGCAAACATATTGATTAATGTTAGCTCGCTGTGTTTTATTTGCAAAGTCAGTTTTAGATATAAGATAACATCTTTCAAAAAATAATGAATCAGTGCTTATATTTTTTCTAACTCCTTGTCTTGTTTAACAATAAAGTAGTCTTCATCGAAATTCTCCGTCCAGTTATCTCCATTTATCAGTGTTTGGAAAAAAGAACGAAAATTTTCTATTTTCAAATTTATTACAACACATATAAAGTACATCTTTTACTGAATACATTCAGTATCCCTTTACAGAGCCTTTCAACCCCCCTTCTTTACTGTTTGTTACTTGATGTTAAATATTGAAATTAAGAACTCAGCGATAAAAATTAATTTAAAATCGTCTCTTGAGGGTTTTCATAATCTAAAATCGTCTCATGAGGGTTTCCATAATCCATGGATGATCTTTCGTCTGTTACAAAAAATTAAACAAATTAATACTTCACAGATACATGTATGATAGCATATTTTTTTTTATTTATAAAAACAAACTTTTTTAACTGAAATTTTCACAGTAATTCAAAAATAAAAAAAACTTAAATGATTAAATGATGCTTACCTAGCGACGCTTGATCATCATGAGAGTCTCCTTTATCTGTTTACCATCAGTCACTGTAGGAAACCATGGTCTGTACCAGGACTCCGGGGACCATTGACCGTTAAGGAAGGCGGCAGTACAGGAGTTAAACCACCAGCCTCCTCTGTATTTAGCAGCACAGTTACCTCCAGCTCTGTCGTTATCCCTGTCTGGGGTACTGAAGTACATCCCAGACAGATTAATACCAGAATAACCCGTGTTTAACATAGAGTCCCCTGTAAAGTCAAACAAAAAGAATCACAGATATATCTTCAATTTAATTGTCAACAATAATACTGAGGTACTTCTAAGAAAGACGGCTTAGGGTGCGGGAAAGAGAAACAATAATTAATTAGTTCATTCCCAGAATCCCCGGTGTCTATCATACTGGCACCTGAAGAATTAGAGAAAATATAGAACAAAGATGATAAGTATTAATCAGTAATTTTCATCCTATTAATCTTAATACTGAAGTACGTCTGAGATACACAGTTTAAAGAGATAAAAAATACAAGTCAACAAAACACTGCACAATTCACATAAAGCATCCTTTCTTGTGTAACAATAAACCACAGGTGTGATACACTTTTAAAGCATGGTAATATTGTGGGGAGGGATATCACGGGAAATTTTAGAACACATCACAAAATGAAATTTTAATAATTGTCCGATACCATGCAATACTAAGTAGATCATTAATAACGAGATAACATATGGTGCATCAATGAATGTTTTGAAATGGTAGATTTCCTATTACATAAATGGAAATGTAAAACGGGTTTATGTCTAATTTAGCTTTAAAACTTTTTTTTATGAATACTAGTATTTATCCATCAAATTCTTTTATCATCAACTTTTCGTTAATCTGTCGACATTTAAGATTAATGAAGCACTGTAAACCTCCTTTTCCGTAGTAGTAAAAATGTGAATCATTGAAAATCAGACTATCATGCTATGTAAACTTTTTTCCGTATTAGTTAAAATTGAATTATGAAAAATTATCAGGCAACCCAAGCTGAAAAACAATGTTGAACAAATGTAATTATTGGATTTGTTTGTTTAAAAGAATTAACATAACTTTCCTTGTACATAAAATGTATAATGAGAAATTTTATCTACTTGACAATGACAGAATCAATATCTGCAGAATATGAGAATTGTACCTGCAAATGTTATTCTGAAATATTAAACATATTTAATTAGCGTGGAATCAAAAACGTACAGAGAATATCAGAAAAAACACATCTTTCTTTTTTTTCAAGAACTTTATAATCTTTCAATACAGAAAAGAATTCTTATAATGATATACGTATTTTGAACCTAATTTTAAGAACTTTACTTAAATACACTTACCTAGAGTCCCATTGGCAGGTCCTGCAAGAAAGAGTTGATATTTTCCTGCTTCGTCGGAGACAGAGAATCCGTTGTACATTTCATACAGAGTTGTACCATTCTGGAGAGTGATGGACGCATACAGGGATGAGGTGTTTTCTTTTGTTAATTTATGGATTACGTCATTTCCTGTATAAAGATATATTTGAAATTATCCGAAAAGTTCATCGAATACAATTAATTCTTTTAAAATCTATATGAATCTTCCGTAATGAAAAATCAAATTATTTTCCATAGCTGTAGACAATATCACTAAATTTGGTCTCATTAGAATATGCCGCTTAATGATATTCTTCATTTCTATTTTTTTTATTTGAAATATCAATTAAACACGATATCTGAATATCATAGAACATACACTACCTGGACTTAACTTTAGATCTTTATTACGCATTATGATTTTTTAATTGCCACAAGAATTTTTTTTATCTTAAAACTTTGAAGGAATAAAAAGTCCTTATTTGAAACCGATTTACACTTACCAATCCAGACGTTCTGTGCTGGTGAACCAAAGCCATTTTTATATTCCGTCCAGGTCCTGTTAAAGGTCATCGATCCGTCTAAGCGTTTCTGAATTGCCTTTGAAAATTAACATGCGTAACAATTCACTATATTGCTTCGAACATTCGTAGGATCCATTTTTTATGATATAAACTACAATACAATCCTACAATCCTTAGAACAACAAAAACAATTTGTGTTATATTAAGTATTTTTAATTCTAAAATAAACAACCTACCGTCCACCCCCCGCCCATTGTCGTCATATCGCAATGCTCACTGACCGGTACTGTTAATGTTCCGTAGGGGTATATATCATACAACCCTGTGATGGTTTGTCCATTTTCTCGAAGATCCTTGCAATCTTTGGGCATACTAGAAAAATCTGAAAAAAAAAATATAATACCAGGATTATACAATGTATATGTACAAGAAGTGAGAGGATATATAATGCCTGCATGATATATAAACGTTAATTGTTGGGGCTAAATTGTTAACTACATACAATGCAGGTGATGTTAAACTGTTCCCGATTATCTTAAATCATATTTGTTTTCCAGTTGGTACAAATCTTCGATTTATGACATGACTAAAAGTATTTAAATTAAACACAATTATTTTCAATACTCTGTTGACTGAAAGAAATGTGAAAGAGAAATTAATTGTAGATAAGATGATAAAGAATTTTGACACTGATATAGTTGTTGAAATATGTAGTAAATCATGAAATCGTTTTGATGTATGATATAATGTCTGAACGATCGACAGGGGATGTTTACTCCTCCACGACACAGGCCAGCTGTTTTCAGGATTCACATCTCAGCTTTCAGAACAGCTGTTTTTAAGATTGCAATTTCAAGATACTAGCTAAAGTGAAATTTTGTCGTTTATTTAGTTATCAACAAGTTTTTTATTTTCTAATGGTTTGGACTAATCATAGTCATAAAGCTTAAATTAATATTACTAAATACTAACGGTGTAGAATGTTCATCTTATGTTTTATATTAATTGCTAAGAGATATCCAGAAAAGAGAAAATAGAAATAGAGAAAATCACAAAGTATAATTTAATCAGTCTCAAATTTAGAACAGATTCTACAAGCAAAAAATGGATGCTTGAATTGGAAAATATTTTTTGGCCTAATTTCAGTGCAAATAATAAATTTATTGAATATAAAGAAATTGAAAACCTTATGTGATGTTCAAAAGTCTGTCCTTCTGAATCTTTATTAATCTATATAAATATTTTTCACTTTAAATTCAATTTTTGTGCAAATTTGAATAAAAAAATTAAAAACTACGCGGTGAAAATTATTCATTGTATTCATTTAAACATGACCAATGTTGTTATTTTTAAATTCTTTGACAAAAGTTTGTCTGTATCATCTCTCCTTAAAAGTCAAAATTAAAAAAGTAATAAAGAAAATCAGCAAAGAGATGAGTATGTCACTAGAATCAATTATGTTGAAAATACAATTGTTTATTTTAGATAAAAAGAATTGTCAAAAAAAATGTGTCTGTTCGAGAGGGATTTAAAACGAATGAAAGAAGCAAGCAGAAAAAAAAAATATACATACCGTTATCCGAGTAGTATCTCCAACCGGCCTCATCAGAGAGCTCAGACTTAAATATTTTCTTATGGGTACGGCATTTCTTCATTTGATTGTTGAATCCAAAGAAGACGCACTCCCTTTTACACATCATGGCACACCTGGATATTGTATGAGAATTATGCTCTCCTAAAAGCCCATAATTTGATTTCTTATCATTAAATTCAAGTTTCGCGGTAAATTCTTTCAAAGTATCGGTAGCCTTTGATAAAGCTATGAAGCCAATGATTAAAGAGATAACCCACTGATTGCTCATTTTCTTTTTTTCCTTTTATAAGAAAATAACTGCGCGTTCTTGTGAATCTGTGAAATTCTGCTAAATCGTCTTTCAACAGCCAAATATATATATATCGTACCATAATCAATGTCTGAAAAGTGATTGGCTCACTGTTACGCATTCTATATTTCACTGTTGTTTAAGTATCGATTTTATTGAATTGTCATAAACATTTATTTTGAAATTGCAATTTAGAAAATAACAATGAAAAATATGCTGTTTTTAATTTAGTTAAGGACAGATGATACAAACAAATGTTTTCTTTGAAAAAGATTTTAAATCATGTCACAAGTTTAGAAATGTGGATGGTTCTTAGAATTTTTTCTCCTAAGAACTAGAATATGAAAAAGACTTAGAAAATATTAGTAATATTTCAATGAAAAAACGAATATAAAGAAATAACATTCAGTAAAGGTTTACAGGTGATAATAAATTTCAGAATATGTTATCCTGGCGTTAAAAGTGTAATATAAACCTTAGAAAAATATACCAAGCCAGGTGAATTTAAAGAGGAAGATCGAAATTAAAAAAAACTGGCAATATCACATTGGCTGATTTTAACCATTTAGCTTTTCCTAATAAAATTCACCTGGCTCGGTATATTTTTCTTAAGTTTATTTTACACTTTTAGCGCATGAAAACATATTCTATGATTTATTTTCACCTGTAAACCTTTACTGAATGTGATTTGTCTATATTTGTGTTTTCATTGAAATATTACTAATATTTACCAAGTCTTTTTCATATTCCAGTTCTTCGGAGAAAAAAAATCTAAGAACCATCCACTTTTCTAAACTTGTGACATGATATTTAATCTTTTTCAAAGAAAAAATTTGTTTGTATCATCTGTCCTTAAAGCATGTCTTGTTATGATATACAGAGTTTTTTTTATCAACTTTCTTCAAAATTTGATATTTGACTGCCGTCATGAGAAAAGGGCCCTTATCGTTTGACGTCACAATTCTCAGAAAACGACGTCAAAGTCGCGGTTTTGTAAACACGGAAGTAATTTTTGTTGACCGCGTTTCGTGAACTTAAAATAAAATTGAATTTCAAAGTGTAACAAAAAATTGAAATTTCATGAGGACATTTTTTAATATGTTTTTGATATTATTACTAATTACTACGTCAATTTATTCATGATTTTGTTTAAGTAGTTAACTTGATGTTGGTATACGCGACATTGGACATGCACATTGCTGGGACAGCGATTAAAACGATGTCGATGACGGCAAAATTAAAGATGCTGCATATTTGTTTTCTGAGCAATTTACAAATGCTTTAATTTGAACTCATGTTAAGAGTCTTCATATCAAAAGGTCCATATACATATACATATAATTCTTTCTTCAGAGAGCTAGAGAGAGAGAGAAAGAGCAAGCGAGAGATCTACATGAATGCACATATATATATAGTAGTTACCGTTCTTATAAGCGCTGAAAAAATATATTCCATAATTTAAAATGTATTTAGCCATGTTAAATTTAATCCATACTGATGTTCCCCGATAGTCAGCCTTTGGTGAACTGTCGATTTTAAAATGTGTAAAAAAAGGGGGGGGGGGGAGGAGAGTAAGTAGAAAAGGCAAAAAAAAAAAACTCCGAATAAAAAGACCGGTTAAATTCAAGCTAAGAAACATAATCCGTCTTTGATTGAATAAAGACACTGGTCACATGGGAGATCCAAAACTTCTACATCAACAATAAATATTTATTTTAATAAAATAACAGTAAGATAATTTGCTAAAGAAAATAAGGAAAAAATATATACGTAGGATGGGGATGCTATAAATTTTTCTAAAAAATAATATTGTTTCAAAAACTAAATTTAAATGATCAAATATATACATTCAAAGGAACCGTATGGTAAAAATTATTGTATCAAATTTCTTAAATCATTCCTAAGAAACGAATGAATGAAATTCCACTCGAACTTGTACGTATTGCAATCTGTTAAGAAATGAAATACAGTTATTGTAAACTTTTCCCAAAAGCAATAAACCCAATTTTGAAGAAATTAACAATATTACATCGACAGTGATATTATGAATGAAGATATTTATAATCCAAAAGAAAAAAACTATAGATTAAGCGAAAAGACGTACGAATTTCTGGCTAATGTTAGATATATGGCTACATTATAGAGCAAAAAAATGTAAGTGACAGGTGGTTGTGTGTGTAATTCCCAAAAGTTATGAAAATGTGAAAAATCTATAAAAACTTTAATGAGCGTGAAATATATTTCACTGATTAGTGAAATGATATATAATAAACAAGACACGTTTTGCGTTGAAATCTTCAACTTTGATACATGTATCAAAATACCCCGAATATCTCGACATTAGTTTCTTAAAGTTCGGTTGAAATCGAGACAAAACTTTATATCATAATCCTAACATGTTTCTAATGAAAGGAATTAATAAACAAACACAAATATTTCTGTTTTTAAAGAGAAATATTGGCCATTATATTCGTATGCAAGGAGCAACGGGGGGGGGGGGGGGGGCTACATTGAAGGTCCGGTTGCCCCCTCCCCCTCAAAACACCCCCCACACACACACTTTTTGTTACAGCATAATCAAATTCTTGCACTCTAGAACCATATCATGTTTGATTAAGAAAATTTGATACTGAAAGAAGACTGACACCCCCCACCAAAGGCAAAATTGGATTCGAGTTTCGACACCCCCTCCCCTATTTTTTTTTTGATGAGTAGTCTTGTAAGGTAAATTGATTTTTTTTGGCTGACTCCCCCCCCCCTTTTTTTTCAAACGAGTTGCGTGGGGACAGGCGAAGATGCTAGTCAATTTTTAAAAAATACTTTTGATATGTTTGGTATAAAAATAGGAAAAAATGGTTTGTCTAAATATTTTAAACCAAAAAAAGGAAAATTTAAGCGGTATGTTATTACTTAATTAACAGCATCACCTCGTAAAAAAAAACATAAACGTGTGTTGAACATAATATTTCATTATTGGCTAAGACAATAGCATCAGAATGAGAAAAGCTTATAAGATGTAAAGTTAATTAGCCATTGTCTCGGAGGAAAACGAATAGATGACCTTTCATGGAATTAAAAAGTGTTTTGTTTTGCTTGACAAGAAAAATTTGGTGTTTTAAAGTAAAAAAAAATATAGCTGCCCCCCCCCCCCCCACACACACACTGAAATGGTTCCTGCGGGCCTGCCGTTCTAGCGTAAAAATATACAAGTATCCATCCAGTTTCAGTTTCAAATAAATTTTGTCAAGATTTGAATGGAAATGTATTACGCAGAGAAAAGTCAAGCACCGTTTAGTGTGAATATATAAAAAAGAGACCAGGAATATTTGGTGGTTGAAAGTGAAAAAAAAATATAGCTCCACCCCACCCCCCCCCCCACACACACACACTGAAATGGTTCTTTTTACGCCGTTCTCGCGCAAAAATATACTAGTATTCATCCGGTTTCAGTTTCAAATAGATTTTGTCAAGATTTCAATGGAAATGTAATTCCGCACAGAAAAGTCAAGCACCGTTTATCTTAAATATATAAAAGGAGACTAGAACAGTACAATTCACCATCCCTTTGATTAAATTATACAATATGCATAAAACTCTTCTTTTTTTTAGATCATAGTAGCGGTCCTTGCAGGAAATATGCAAATGTTGTGTTCAAGTGTAACGGTATAGGTGCTTAAGAATTTAAAAAAAAGTTAACGTGATGAAATATTTGTTACCGATTTAAATTGTGATTTACTTTTTAAAGAGTAAGATGTTAAAAGACGGTTTCAATTTGAGATATAAATTCAAAGAAAGTTTTAATTTAAGGTACGGCATATAAACCATTCATAAGACAATCCTTTATTTGCCTCTTTACTATGTTTCTACTCCATAACTAAGACAGGCGTAGAAAATGAATTGTATATACATTGAAAGCTTAGAGTTTTAAACATATTTAATAAATTATTCAAAAAAGTAAAAATTTTAAAATCCGCTTGCATGGATCTAGCGAATGTATATATTTTTTTTTTAATTCATGAATTTTTATGAATGGAATAAACGTTTTTAAATACAAGTTTACATATCTTGGCGTAATCTGAATTTATTTCTCAATTGAATTGTTCGGTGATACAGAAAATACATGGTGTTTTTATCCTATCGTAACAGATATAGGGAATAAAGTTACGTGCCTGTGTGTTAGTAAGTGAATGCTGACTCAAGCATTTTTTTTAAAATATCCGGATCGATGTGCTTTTTTGCGTTTTGCGGGGGGATGCCCCGTTCTGCGCGCGTTGTCCTTCAGCATGGGATTCTCTCTCTCTCTCTCTCTCTCTCTCTCTCTCTCTCTCTCTCTCTCTCTCTCTCTCTCTCTCTCCTAATCTTTAAGTGTTATATCTGCTCTATATCTTTTATAAATTGAATTAGATTAGATTATTTCATATAAAAAGAATAGTTTGTATGAATTAAAAAAAATATTATTTCCCTGCTGATTATGATATAAACCGTTTCTAGATTCTGTCTAGACCCACATCCCCCCTTTATGAAATTACTAGATCTTCTATAGAATTGTATGAAAATAGTAATACCATACGAAATCCCCTAGGAATAGTTACATACTAGTTGCTTGGAAGAAAAAAAGTTAAACAGTTTCTCAAGTTTTTAATTCTCAAAGCGATTGAGGTTCTTTAAATAACATGTAATTTTAAGAATTTTTGAAAATTGAATAAGACGCAGGTGACGTCACTGCGTTTTCAGTGAGTAACGTCAAAGTTGTTTTTGGAGCGCCTCACTAAAATGCTCATAAAATACTGAAAAAGTGAGATATTTTGAAAATTTTTGTATATTTGCATTCAGAAAGAGTCCGGCTATCAAAATTTACCAAAAAGTCAATTTGTGAAAATTTGACCTTAAGGGCCCTTTTCTCGTGACGGCAGTCATCTATATATATAATTTCCTTCATCACCTCAAACTAAATGAAATTATAAATCAGCAATTTTGAAATAAA